AGAGAGTGTTTCTGAGCTTGGCACACAGAACATCATCTAGGGAAAGTGGTTAGGCTGAAAACATTTTACAGATAAACCAAGGCCAAATAACTTAAGTGACTCAAGTAAATGGAGCAAGTGAGATTCTGAAATGTTAGTTCACTGTTTATTTCTCTGGCAAAAAAGAGATGGTACTGCCTTGGAAGGCAGGTTTAAATACATTAAAATGTAAATAAGATTTTTTATTTCATATTTAAGATGCATCAAAGCCTAGTGATTTGTCCAAGGTTTTGGTGTAATCAGAAGAGATAGTGCAAGTAATTAGTCCTTTCAGCTACATTGCTAACAAATGCTATATAGTATAGCTGTAAAAAAAAAGAATTCAGAGCATCATCCAAATCACCTGCCCTTCTTATTCCCCATTAAATAGTATCTTCAAGATCTTAGCTCTTAAACATTAGTTTTGACTTTCTGTTAAGTACAGATTTGATTCTCATTTCTCTTGATGAAAAACTTTTGAAGGGAGTGCCAGCTGTGTCTGTTATTTTTGAAGGCTTCAGTTTTTTGCAGTGTGAAACAATGAAAATACTTCTTTTGTGGAATCAGATTTCTAAGAAATTTATATGAGAGACATTCTTAATGCAAAGCTTTGTTTTCTACTGCTTGAAAATAACTCACTTAAAATAGTGTATGTGCCAGAAATTATAGTAGGATAGGAAGGGAATCTAAAATATTACTTATGTAATTTAGAATCTTAACTGAATTAAGATTTAAATGATTAATAACTGTGAAATTCTCAATAAAGACTTTATTGGGTTATACCTGAAATAGACTTGTCCTTTGATAATTTTTAAGAAACCTGATACAATGCCATTAAGTGAAAGGTCAAGGAAATGTGGCCGGTAGAAGTATTTTGTTAATTTAACAAAATTCTGGATAATTGATAGCAGTTACAAGGCTTGGAATTCCACTTGACAAATAGAGTTAACTTTTTGGTGTTGTTTGGTTTAGTTTTTTTTTTTTTTTTTTTTTTTTTGAGATAGGTTCTTACCTATGTAGTTAAGGTTGGACTCAAACTCACAGCAGTCTTCCTGCCTCAGCTTCCCAAGCGCTGGGATTACAGATATGTGCCATCATGCCTGCCTGACTAGAAAAAAAAAATTTAAATTCTCTCTCTCTCTCTCCCTCTCTCTCCCTCTCTCTCCCTCTCTCTCTTTCTTTCTCCCTCCCTCTCTCTCTTTCTTTCTCAGGGTCTCACTATGCAGTTCAGACTGGCCTTGAACTCATGGCAATCCTCCTACCTCAGAGTATAGGCTTGCGCCACCACACTTGGCCTAGAAAAAATATTTTAAATGTGGTTTAACTTCACAAAAATTCCCCTTTACTGTTTAATCTTTTCCCTTTTCTTTATATATTGGAATTTAGCCGTGGTTCCTTGTAAACAGAAAAGGCCTTTAGGAATTTAATGGCTTAAATGGTTTATTTGTTGAATAGTTTATATTACTAAGATAAAATAATTGATTATAGTCTTACTCGGGTCTTTTGACAAAATTGGAAATGTCTATTTCTCAGTTCTTCCTGCTTCTCTTCCCCTAAATTTGCATGGTTCATGACAAGTCTTGGAAAAAGAAAGAATGTAACTAAGTGTAGTGGAGAGGAGTTCCAGCAGCACCTTTGTGCTGTTACGAGTGCTTTTGGAAGTGAATGCAGGTGGGTGAGCTAGGCTACCTATGACCTGGAGAGAGAGCGAGTGCCGGGGAGCAAGTGAGGAGCTGCTGGGAGAGGAGCAGGCCGACCAGTGGCTGTGCTTATGAGAGTTATCTATGTGTTTCCTTGTCTTCTTTTTAGGGTCTTAGAGGATTTAAGAGTTGGCACTGAGACCTTTTATTCATGGACTCTAACATATACTATTAATCCTTATTTTCTTTTCAAAATAAGCTATATCAAATGAATCACAATGTTATTAATAGCATCACAGAAAATTTACCCATTTTAAGTTTGAAAAGCCAAATGTCTGGCAGGTTAATCCTGTTTTCAACTAGATTAAGTCAAGAAGTAATCTTTAAAATGAGTACCGGGGATTTAGCTCAGTGTTTCGGTGGCCTGCCTTGCAAGCGCAACGACCCGAGTTCAATGCCCCGTACCCCCGCAAAAAAAAGTAGATCAAGAATATGACTATATTTGCAGCCAGTTATTTCTGGAATGATGACATACATTGGCTATTCGTAAAATCAGTAAGATACTTTGTAAAGCATGCTAAAATTTTATTTTTTAAATATTCTGGAATAAGATCTCTATAAACTATACCAATTATTTCTTATTTATTAGCTATATTAATAGAGCTATGTTAAACAGTATTGAGATATTTAGAGTAGCTACTCACTGTGGCTATTGTCTTTTTTTTTTGAGACAGTGTTTAACTGTGTAGTCTAAGCCTCTAGGCTGGTCTTGAATTTACAGTGTAGTTTAGGCTGCCCCAAACTTGCGGCAGTCCTCCTGCCTCAGCCTCCTGAATGCTAGATTTACAGACATGTGCCATCATGATCAGCACTTTTAAAAAAATAGACCTCTTAAGGGAAAAGAAAAAAAATATGAGAAAATGAAAACATGGAAATAAAGTGTTTGTAAATGGGGAGGGGAGGGGGAGGTGAAGGGAGGGCAGGGACAAGGGGGGAAAATGAGAACCAAGACTTGTTATGTAAAGTTACAAGATCCCAATGATGAATGTAACTTTACTGTATAACTAAAAAATACCAATAAACTCAATGAGGAAAAAAAAATAGACTTATTGTTTAATGGTTTTACCTTCACAGCAACATTGACATAATTTTTTCTTACCCTGGTGAGAGACTGTGGAAATGTTTGTTAAAATACATCTATCTTTGCTGTCAGTATCAGTGTATATACAAAATTTATTTGCAATCATTTTTGTCCTTTTATGATTGTTCTTTTCAAGATATTAGCATTTGTACTGAACATAATAGGTGAAACATGGAATCGTTTCTGTTTCATTGGAGTAGTGTGAATGTAAGGCTTTTGATTTGTTTTAGGATTAAAAACTTTTTATGTATTTCATAGTTGGCAGTTTAAAGAAGCCAAAAATTTTTTGCTCTGTTTTTGAAGAAGCTGTAACATAAATGTTGCTCCTATACATGCCAAAAAATGTATATAAATTATTGGAACTCTAAGGAGATATTAGTTTTCTTAGGCAGTATTTATATGCTTTTCTTTTGTTATCTAAAGTAACTTCTGTCTTAATTCATTGCCACTGATTATGAGCTACTTGTATAAATTCAGAAGTACAAGTGTACCATAGTTAAAGTGTACTTGTAGGGAGGTAATGCATAGAAACCCTACAATATCAAATATCTAGTTTTAAAATAGAAATTCACCATGCTTCATTTGGCTTGTATTTCGACTGGCTCTTTTTACTCTTGGGAGGAGGGGTAGCAATTGTCTTAGATCAGACTGTTATAGAAAATAGCATTTTGGTATATCTTGCACTTTCAGAAAGTTCTCTTACTGTTAATAAAATTGCATATTGTTATTTAAGATAAAAAATCTTAGTCTCTCTGTATTTTAATATATCATGTCATCCAGGGCCTAGACGATACTAGTTAGTTTTGTACCTTTAACATGCACTAGCAATATTGTTGTATATTATTAAGTTTTGGGGAGGGTGCATCTGATATATTTTTAAATATGGAAAATTTAAAACATTCACAAAGTAGAGATAATCATATGAGTCCTATTATATATTTATCAGCTGTCTTCAGTAGTTTAGCATCATGGACAGTGTTGTTCTTTTTTTTTGGTACCAGGGATTAAACTCAGGTCCTTGTGTTTGCGAGGCAGGCGGCAGAACCACAGAGCTAAATCCTGGCCTGACAGTGTTGTTCTATTCACACGCCTCCTCATTACTTCCCTCTACCTTCTGCGATCTGGAAGGAAATCCCAGATACCATATAATCTTATTGATAAATATTTCAATGTGTATCTCTAAAAGAAAATATAAATTATATGTATTCCTTGTGTATACCAGACAGCTTTGTTTTGGAGAGGGAAGTTTCAAGAGTGCTTGGTAACAGGCCTATTTCATTTTATTGTAGTTAATTTTCGATTAGAAAGATGAAAAGTTTATATTGCTTAGATGTTTTATTATTAAAGTAGATCTCAAAGGATACGAAATGTTAATTCTGGAAATAAATCTATAAAAACATTGTAAATTACCACCATACATGTATGAAGTTATGTGGCATTCCTCATTTCAGAACTAACCCATGGTTTGCTTTGTCATTTGTTCATGCCCTGGCCCCTGTATCTTTAAATGCTGAGAGATAAGCAGCATATCACATTTAGATCCAAGTGGTATTCTTTAAACATATATACTTGTTACAAAAAGGAAGAGAAAGTTAAAGGAGAAAGGACAGTAGTGAGAAAGAGAGAAAAAGAAGGGGAAAGGAAGAAAGAGGGTAATGGGACTGAGAAAAGAGAAGGGACAGATCAGGGTAAACCTCAGCAGAGGTGCCAAATTGTGGAGATAAAACTTCCCATTTTCTCACTCTCCTCTCTTGATCCTGACTTCTATATCTCTCCTGTTTTGGTTCTTCTATGCTTTATATCCTTCCTGTCTTGAGATTAGCTAAAGTTTGCCTGTGGCATTTAGGGTCAGGAAGATTGCTCATTCCTCCTCTAAAGAGTGTTTTTATGATATGAAGATTGTAAGACAAAACTTTAAAAAATATCTATATTATGGCTGTGCTTTATTTGCTTTTATACAGGTATTTTGTAGTATTTCTTTTAATTGTTGAATACCTACTGTGGGCTAAGTTGAACCTTCCTATAATTTGTGGATGAATTAATACAGTATATGAAAACATTAATTTTATATAGGCTTTTGGGTTTACTTTAGATGCTCTTACTGGGAAATTGTATAGTAATTTTTCCTTTTTTTTCTGTGTGTTCTCTTTTACGGCTCGTTTACTGGATGAAATTGATTGCCTTCAAATTTGATTCTGCAGTTCACAAGATTCCTTTGCAGTTCACCTTTGGAGGTAAGAGTTTACTCACTGACCTTAATACTAGAATAGCTAATTAAGCATCACTCTTTATTTCTTTCCTTAAGCATTGATAATTTAAGCATTTGCTAATTTAGGAGTGATGATTTTGTACTGACACTTTTTAATATCATCAATGGGATGAACAATCTTTTTTGGTAAAATTTTCTAAAAGTAAGGCTGTTGTATTTGTGTTACTCCCATAATTTATTTAACTCTGTATAAATGATGCTTATGTTAGAAGAGAGCTGGAGAAATCACATATAAAAGGAATTCTGTCACCAAGGAATTTTGACTTGGTTTGAGAGGCCATTTTAAAACCTGTTAAGTCATTGGAGAGGAGCTTCTGTTATAACACAGGCACTGCTCTGGGCACTTGATTCTTTTTTCATTTAATGCTCATCTTTATTCTCAATATAGAACCAAAAATTTAGTGATAAAATTGTGTAAAAGATGATTAGATTTAGAACCAGCCTTGAGTTTAAGAGTGTATTGTCAGCCAGGCGTGGCGGCACATGCCTGTAATCCCAGCACTTGGGAGGCTGAGGCAGGAGGATCGCTGTGAGTTCGAGACCAGCCTGGGCTACATAGTGAATTCTAGGTAATTCTCAACTACATAGTGAGACCCTGTCTCAAAAAAAAAAAAAAAAAAAAACAACCCAAAAAAGAGTGTGTCATCACTTACTAGCCTGTGACTGGGCAGATCACAACTTCCCTGAGATTTTGTTTTCTTACCTTTAAAATTCAAGCAATAATTTCTACCCCTCAAATGAGACAGTAGAAATGGAGTGTAAACTGTGCTATTGAGACCCTGTAATACATGCTCTTGCTATTTCTTGCTTGCCTTTCATTTGTTCTTCCCTTTGCATCTCTTGTTTATTTCACTTTAAGCTCCATTTCCCCATTCCCACCTAGTTCAAATTATGCTCCTCCTTAGGGTTAAGCTCAATATTTTGTCCTCTGTGAGCTCTTGCTTTCTTTGGTACTGGGGATCGAAATCGGGACCTTCTGCTTGTGAGGCAGGTGGCAAAACCACTGAGCTAAATCCCTGGCCCAAAATGTATGGTAGGTGTGATTTTTTTTGGGGGGTACCGAGACTCAAACTCAGGTCTTTGTGCTTGCAAGTCAGGTGGCTGCACCACTGAGCTAAATCCCCAGCTTCTCTGTGAGCTCATTCTTTACCTCTCCACACATAGGCAGTTCGTTTTTATGCCTTTATAACCTTGTGTTCATTTAATTATTGAAACACTTACTGTCCAGATTGAGCGATCACCAGGAGAAACAGACAAGACCCAGAGAGGCTGGTTCCATCCAGGTTTGGTCACATTTTCTAATCAGGTCAAGGGGAAAGCAAATGGTACTGTGGAAAGATTCTGGGTTTTGAAGTAATAGCAACTTAGATGGCCTGTGTGCAAGTTATTTAATCCTTCTGAACTGCTGTTTTCCAACCTAAAAATGGAGCTAATACTTGCGAGTTTATTAAAATTAAATGAAATGATTTGTGGCAAACATTGGAAACAGTGCCTAGAAAATAGAATTTTAAGTAAGAGTTAGGTGTAAAGTGAAAACCAACCCAGAAGAAACTTGAAGACAGCATAAATTTTATAATTTGCTCTTTAGTTAAAGACCCCTTATTTTAACTGTTGAAGCAGAGGGAGATTTACAGAAGAAAAGATAAAAAAAAGTTAGTTTGATTATGTAAAGATACACAATTTTGTACATGTAAATAAATGTAGTTAAAAGGCAGCTTGGAGAAAGTATGATAAAAGTCTTATTATATGGAATGTCATGACCTTTCAGAATCACTAAAAAATAGTACTTCTTTAATACAGAAGTTGGTTGAATTTTACCAAGTAGTTGAGAGAAAATGTAAGAGGATGGGCCAGGGATGTAGCTTAGTGGTGCTGCTGCCTGCCTTGCAAGCACCATGCAAGTACTTCACTAGCACAAGATCCTGAGTTCGATTCCTGGTACCAAATAAATAAAATATAAGAGGTGATCAGTATGTTTTAAAAGTTTAACCCCATTAGTAATCAAAGAAATAGTTTGAAACATTAATGATATATAATCTGTTACCTATCAAGGTGTGATGAAATGGGATATTTATAAACTTCACCCTTCATAAAAAGCAGGTGTTTTCCCATATGCTTTAAAATCTTTATATGCATTCATACCTTGTGGTTGAGTAGTTCTGTTCTAAGAGCCACTGCCAGAGATATAATCAAAGGCAGAGACAATACTTGCATGACAGTGTTTATTAAAGCATTATTTATAATGGTAAAAAAGTATAAACAACCTAAATGTCTCACAACAGTAAATGGGCAGATAAATCCTTACCCAAGCCATGTGATGGAACCCTCTATACCCATTTAAATGGAAATTATGAATGCATGTTCTTGAGCATATATTAGTGAATAATGTAAAATGTCTTTGCTATATTAAGAGATAAAAGTAGGATACAAAATTGTACATGCAAATCTCAATAAAAATAAATGCTTATAAATTAGTTTGGAAGAAGATACACAAAATGTAAGTACCAATTACAAAATGTTAAAATTGTTTTACTCTTTGAATAAAAACCCACAATGGATAGTGGTACATTGGTAGTTTTTGTTAATAGTTGTTGAAATCATTGTTTGTGGGTGTCAAACAACTTCATCAAGAGCTTAGTGTGACCATAGTAAGGGTTCTTAGCAGAAGGCAATTACAGTGAGTTGGCCTCACTGCATTGGGAGTCAGTAGCAAGGTAGCTGGTTTTCTACTTGATGGGCAAGTAAGTAACAATTTGATTTACTAACCAATTGCAAAGTACTTCTAAGTAGAGCTCACCAGTAAAATTCTCTCTAATATAAACTCACTGAGAAAGGGTTCTGTATTTCTTGTTTCCATTCTTAGTGTAATACGTGGTACAGAGCAGGCACTGATTGAATAAATATTTGTTGAATGAGTGAACAAATTAATAAATGCTATTTGTGGGGGTCAGGCTGAGAGTAGCACTGTCTTAATGATAATTAGGCAGCAGTCAGCCAACATCAGTCAAGGTTTAATATTTATATTTTAATATATTTAAACATCTGTCTTCCCACTTAGATTGTAGTTACTTATGGTTGAGAGCTTTGCTTTTTCATCTTTGCTCTCAGTTATAGATAGGGGTTGAGGTGTACCTGCTAAATCTACAAGCAAATATTTTTAGATTGGGTCTTACTGCTTTTGTTAAATATTGCAGTATGTATGTGGATGCTTTAATCTTTGATTAAAAAATAGGGAAAGTATCATGATCCAAATTTAGTGATAGTTTCTGTCATTTTCTAATAACTTTCTCTACTTAATGATTTGAAGTTGTATTTTACCTTGGCTAAGTTGATCTATTACTTGGCTTATAAATATGGAGGAGAAAGATGAATTAAAGATGACCAGTGCACTTTTCTCTTTTGGGATGTGAAGTACCTTGAGTCCTTTCCATTGATATTTCTCTAATTTGGAATTCCATGGGGCCACCTGATAGCTTAGTGAGTGATAGCCTTCCCCAGTTCTCCTTCAGCACCAACGGAGCTCAGGATTCCATTCTTCGTTCACCACACAGTACTTCAGAGCTAAGGCAGTAGAATGTTGGAGTCTCTGAATATTTAAATGTGCCATTAAATTTATATTTTAGCTGGAGAAGGAAAATTACAAATTTGGGAAATGCCCAACACTTTCCCTAATTTTGAAGAAATGAAAAATGATTCTGGTAGAATAAACTTGTGAGTCTTGCAGTTGAAAATGAAGCTGACTTTAAACTTTGTCCCAGAAACCTCCTGGAATGAACTATGTCCCTTTGTTGTAAGCTCTAAACAGTTAACTGCCACATGAATCTAATGAAATTGTCAGGTTATCGTAATTGCATCAGTAATTTGATATGTTGTCATTTGAATGGACCATGTGTGGAGAGTCAGTTACTTCCCTCTGTGGGGCTGACCCTTTTACATTCCTATAAGCTGAAGACTAATAGCAATCATTAAGCTTTATGGGAAAAGAGCTTTTATCACCTCGTCAAGTCAGGCAACATATTTTCATTCTATTCCTGATTTTGTGTGGCTCTGTAGCTGCTGATGTGCTCTCCCCTGCTAGGTTTACATCAGACCTCTGCCTTACGGACATTTTTATTGACAGTTTTGAGTCTGAATTACATTTTGTGTGGCACCACTTACAGATGTCTTCAATTAAATGTAGGTAAATAAAAGGGATTATATATCAGAGGCCAAAAGATTCTTGAAATTCTCTTCGAAGTCACTTTGCCAGCCATTTCAGTAGAGTACAGTCTCATTGTTGCTTTCGAGGTGGAGAGTTGGCCTAAAGGCAGTTGTGGCAAATGTTAAACCTTGTATGACTGTAAGTCACTTAGGTTTCTCTTCAAGTATGTATATCTTTCTGTTCCTTCACTTTGGATCAGTTAAACTGTTCAGTATTAATGATCATAAAAATTACTCTTTGAGAGTTAACAGCTGTCACATACAAGAACTGTACTTAGCACTTTCTGTACATTAATTCTTACAGAATGTCTATTTTTTTGTGTGTGTCACTGAGAGTTCAACCTAGGGGTACCCTACCACTGAGCTACATCCCTAGACTTTTTCTTGGTACTGGAAATTGGACTCAGGGCCTCGGGCTTGCCAGACAGGTGCTGTACCACCAAACTATATCCCTGGGCCTCTAGACATTTTTTTTGAGACAAGGTCTTGCTAAATTGGCCAGGTCGGACTCACACTTGCAGTCCTCCTGCCTTAGCCTCCCCAACTGCTGGGATTATGGGTCTGCACCAGTGTGCCTGGCAGAATATTTACCCTTATTAAAAAAAAATGAGAGGCAGGTTAGATTAGCTGGGTTACTAGTATGTGACAACAATAACAAGATAGGAAGGGGAAAATGTAATGAATACTGCTATAAGATTTATTTTTTGAGACAGAGTCTTGCTCTGTAATTTAGGATAGCCTTGAACTCACATGGCAATCCTCCTG